TCTTTCTTGCGGAAGATGCTCTCACTTTTTGTGAACTTCTAGAAATGCTATGTTACATTTAAGATACATCCTCCTTTGCTTTCAAATGGTGTTCGACCTTAAAATCTACATAAGAAAGACGGAGGTGTCTTAGAATTGATAATAGAAGGGATGAGGAGAGATTGGCTATGGTACTCGGGTGTAAGACTACTACACTCTCAATCAAATACTTGGGTTTACCTCTTGGGGCCAAATTCAAGGATGTGAAAACGTGGGAGCCTATTGTGGAGTTGTTTGAAAAAAGATTGACGAGGTGGAAGAGAAATTTTCTTTCAAAAGGGGGAAGACTTACTTTGATAAAAAAACACGTTGGCAAACTTACCCATTTACTATCTCTCTATTTTAACCATTTCGGTCAGCATTGCTAATAAGTTTGAAAAAATCCAATGTAGATTTCTTCGGAGTGATGATGAGGGGAATAGAAAACACCATTTAATTAGGTGGGAGGAGGTGAAGAAACCGGTATGTGGGGCTGGGGTTGAAGTCTATTAGGGATTTAAACCGCGCCTTTCAAGGGAAATGGTTATGGAGGTCGCTTGTTGAAGAGGGAAGGCTGTGGAGGGAGATGGTGCGGGCGAGGTGGGCAAATTGGGAGAAGGAGAGAAGTAGGAGGGGAAGATTCAAATCGCAAGGATTGAGCCTTTGGAAGAAAATTAGTGATGACAGTTTATCCTTTATGGACCGTATCAGGTGGCTGCTGGGGAATGGGGGGATATCAGTTTCTGGCATGATGAATGGGTGGGCAGTTATAAGCTTAAAGATCGCTATCCTAGAATCTATGAAATTGCTTGTGATAAAGAGGCTAAGGTGAGGGATAGCTATGATAAGGTGGGGGAGGGGTGGATCTGAAATGTGAAACTAGTAAGAAATTTACAGGACTGGGAAATTGATGAGTTTTGCAATCTGTTACAGTGCCTTGACAGAAAAAAACTAAATGATAACAGGGATAAGAGAGTGTGGAAACCAGATGAGAAAAAAGGTTTTTCTGTAAGGTCTATGTACAGGGTCCTGTGTAAAAGGGACAGCAGCAGTTTCAGCAAAGTTGTCCCCTTTAAACAGATCTAGAAGAATAGAGCTCCTCCTAGAGTGACTTTTTTTAATTGGGAAGCTGCGAAAGAAAGCATTTTAACAGTAGATATGCTTAAAAGAAGAGGAATTGCCATGATTAACAAATCTTATTTATGCAAATCTGATGAGGAAACTTGTAATCATTTACTGTTGTGGTGACCGAAAACTTATACCTTATGGAATTCTGTTTTAGGGCTGTTGGGGCTGAATTGAGTTATGGCTGAAAACATGAGTAGTGAATTGTGGATCTGGACAGGTTTTTGTAAAAAGAATAGGCATTTATTTCTTATTCCACTAACAATTTTTTGGATTGTGTGGAAGAAAAGAAACACGAGAGCTTTTGAGGACAATGAGACTAACTTTACACATGTTATAGATAGATAAATACACACTTTTGCTTCTATTTTGTTAGGTCATGACATCAATGATTGAAAGGATCTTGAGATTGTCATGGACCACTTAATTGACTTATAACTAATTTTTTGTACTTGGGTGATACCCCCTTGGTATCTATGTGAATAATATTACTTCTCTTTTCTTTAAAAAAAAAATATTATCCTCATTTCATTCTGTGCCTTGATATAGGCAAAAGGGTCAAAAGTGGCAATAGCAATATTAGCAACTAAACAATTTGGCCACTCGAGATTGCCATCATCTTTTGCAGTACAAGTTGGCAACTTGTGGTTGCCACCTCTTTTTGCTACCGTCCATGAGAATTGAGGTAAGTTGGCCACTAGAAATTTGCCACAACCTAGTCCAAGGAGACATGAGGCAATTTGAGGAGTTGCCATTACATTTGGATCAATCAAAAGTGTCGCACAAGATGCCACCTCATTATATGAAAAATAAATCAAAAAGATAAAACCAAGATAACTCCTAATTACCTAATATGTCCTAAATTGCCCACATAATGCAAGAACTGATGAATACACAAAAGTGACATAAATATTAAAAAAAAAAGAAACATTTTCTAATAATATAGCATTCCATCTTAGCTTGTTCCCATTCTGCATTATTCTTCTTTCTAATAATAAAAACATTCCATCTTAGCTTATTCCCATCTTGTCTCATTCTTTGCCAATTGATGCAAACTTGAACCCAGCTTTGAAGTGACGATGCATAAATATGTGCACAATCTGAGACACTGTAGTTTATGACCCCCATGGGAAAGCAAAAGTTTGGTCATAGTCATAGGTTCCACTTGAGCATTAAAGCAAGAGGTAATATGAAATCAATCACCAGATAAATTTGCACAAATTGGGAATTTGAAGATTCATTTGTAAGTGAAGGATCTCAAGAATCATCTCTATCATAAGTTTAATCAAGATTGTTGAAAAGAGTAGGAGCAAGAGCTTCTTGACTTCAACTTGTTCTTCATGTTGTGAAAAAAGGAATTATTGATAATTGAACGATCTTCGAAATCACAAGCTTGACCTAGATTGTCAGAAAGAGTAGAACTAAGAGTTTCAATTTCTTCATTTCATTCTTTATGAGATGAATGACTAAGACAAACTTCAAGTCTTGACTCTCACAAAATAAAAGCCTTTATAGATGCAAGCTTATTAAGACATTTCTGCAAATCCTTCGCAAGTTCAAACATCAAGTACAAATATGGATAATACTGAATTTCAAGTTGATTGCAAGAATCCTAAATGCATCGACCATCTAGAGAATTTTAGTCCATATAACTTCTTGAAGACATGATAATTGAACAATCTTCGAAATCACAAGCTTGACCTAGATTGTCAGAAAGAGTAGAACTAAGAGTTTCAATTTCTTCATTTCATTCTTTATGAGATGAATGACTAAAACAAACCTCAAATCTTGACTCTCACAAAATAAAAGCCTTTATAGATGCAAGCTTATTACGACATTTCTGCAAATCCTTCGCAAGTTCAAACATCAAGTACAAATATGGATAATACCGAATTTCTAATTGATTGCAAGAATCCTAAATGCATCGACCATCTAGAGAATTTTAGTCCATATAACTTCTTGAAGACATGAATACTGAGCTATTTCCTGTATATCCATAATCAGCAAAAAGTTGATATAATATATCATTGGCAATTAGATATATTACATGACAAATTGTAATCATGAGGAAGTTTAATTCCATCTTAAAACATCACTATTTGTTTATACGAGAATGCTCAACAATTGTGTAAGAAAAATAGTGGATATCTGATCCCAGGTCTGGGAAATTATTGGATGGGAAATAGAAGAGGAGGGCAAGAATACAAGGAAATAGTAAGATTGAAGGGAAAGAATAAGGGGCAGCAAAGAAGTAGGATTTCAAGAATTGAAAGGAGAGATAGAAAGATAGGAACCAACAAGAAGAACAATAGTGCTCTAATACCACTTGATGAAGAACACATGAAGAACACACCTACAAAAATACAAATTTACTAGTAAATAAGGTAATGGGCAGCATTTTTTTAGCAAGTCTAGAAAGAGGAGAGATTAGAAGAGGAAGAAAGGAAAGAAAAGGTAAGGGGAAAAAAGGGAATGGGAAAGAGGAAGAAAGTAAAAGAAACTGATGAAAACAAAATTGAGAGAAACCAGAATTTAGTGAAAGAAATGCATTAACTTCAATTCCAAAGACAATATCTCTTAATTTTCAATATCTTTTATATAGGCAAAAGAGAAAGTCACAATGACAGATAGTAATATTAGCAACTAGTCAAGTTGGCCACTTGAGATTGCTTGGTAAGTAGACAAACTAGACACCTGAGATTGGTCTTCTCTTGTTCAATTAACTGCGGGACAAGTTGGCAACTTCTTGTTGCCACCCACTTTGGTCACCATTATGAAAAAGAAGGAAGTTGGCTGCTAGGAAGTTGCTACAACCTTACATCCAATGAGAAATTTAACCCCTTTTAGCTTGGCCACATTCTGCATCACTTACATTATCTTATATCGAGGAAAGGCCAAAATTACTAAGCTAATAAAAAACATAGACACTTGTTAAACAGTTACTTCAAACTACACTAGGGAAGTTGCCCTCATTACCATGGCGTAGCTCCTTCCTGCATTCAAACAATCTTCCATCATTGATAGCAAGGATAAAGAAGCTAAAAGAATTCATCCAGAAAAGTATAATATGATGATTTGATTCTTCTTAGGAATTTGCTATAACTTCAAGAACCATTAAACAACCTTAAGAAATGCACTGAAATAAATCCGGTGTTGATCCAGGTACTACTAAACACCCAAATTTTTTATAGCCTAACAATGTTTCCCACGTGAGTTCTCTACTTTGTTGTAATTACTCTTACAGGAAGCACACACCTTAAATCAGTACTTCAAACACGGCTCCTGTCATCGTTTAGTAATGGACCAAAATCTACTCAATGACGTAAACAGCTCATCTATCAACTTAAAAAATCATCATAACAAGTAACAGATTTAAGCTCTAACGATTAGACTTTTCAATCTGATGTCCACTCGCTGTTTTTCTCTTTTAAAATCAACAAACTTGGACTTCAATTAGTTCAAATTCCACTTACAGACAAGTATAGAAAACGATTTACCTTTTAAATTTCAATTTTTTTCTTTCGTTACAATCTCTCAAAACCAAAGCATGTCAACCATTCAACAAGCCTCTCCAACTTTTTTAACAGCAATTATACAGTCCAATCACATCAAGAGATGTAGTCATTCATGAACAAGTATATATAACGTACTTAACGTTTGTGCGAACTCTCTTCCGCCGGCTAGAGGATTCGAGCTCTTCCATAACGCTTTCAACGAGCCTGTGAAAGCAGGAAGTTCGTCGGCAATCATGGCTAAGAAACTGCTGTTCAGACCACAATACCGGGGACAGAGGCCCTAATTTCGAGTAACGGCGAAACGGCAAGGTCCTGAAATAGTAGGAACGGAACCGAATGGCCGAGAGAGGGAAAACCGTAGCAGAGCGAAGAACAAAACAGCTATTAACGACCCTAACTGCCATCATCATCTACGGAAGTTCAGAGAGGAAGAAGTTGAAGGCTCATATAAACCATACAAGGATTTAGCAGTTTTGTAGGTTGTGACTGACAAAGAGCATGTTGCTCGGTGAGGCAGCCCGCTAAGGAATTCAATGATTGCAGAAATGGAAGATGAGTTTCTGTAAAGGGCCATATGCGCAGAGGATATGAATTACTGGGCTTTAAAGGCCCATATTAGTTTGACTGGTGCAAAATTGGATCGACCCGACCCAATTCCCATCAATATTTTATAAATGTCAGTAATCAATATTTCTAACTAATAAGAGGTGGTAAAATGAAATGTATCTTTTATTTAATAATTTTAAATGTATTATTTATATATTAATTTTGTAATTTTAAATATTAAGAACATATATATGTTAGTTTTATAATTAATATTTTAATATTTTATTTTTATAATATATATATAATGCACTTATTTATTATATATATTTTATTATTTAAATTTTTAATATAAAAAAATTAATCAGTCCAAACTGTACCATACTGATTTTGGACCAAACCTGATTGAAAAATCTTTTTAGATTAAAAAGATCTGATTCAATTATTTGATTCCAACTTAATAATAATCACTCTTATAAATTAAAGTATTGTCAATTACTATTTATAAGAAGAATAGAAAAATACCGTAAAAATTTTAAATGAATTGTGTGAGTAGAGAATATATTAATGAGATTGGTGGTCGAGTCTTTGTAAATCGAGTTTGTTATGTCTTATATATATATTCTAATACATCTCCACTTTTACACATGAAAATTATTACTTGAAGAATCATATTCTAACATAGAATACAGACATCCACCCCTTGACATACTTCAAATTAAATGACATCAATACTATAAAAAACACTTGGAAGACTAGTTTGTAATATTTAAAATTAACATAAAAATGTCAAAATTCAAAGATTAAGTTAGTAATTTGTCTTTATCATTAATATTTATTATTATTATTAATTATTAATCTACATGTTAATATGACATATTTTGCGATTAAATGGAATTGACAGAATTTCTGCAAAAAAATTATTCATTTATTATTTATTATATATTTGTTATATAATATGAGACCAAAAAAAAAAAAAAAATGAGCAAAGAAATTTTGTATATCAATAAAGAAAATAAAGATGTGGAAAACAAGATAAAGATTATTTACAATTACTTCGTAAACTAATTGAAAGCGATGTAACGCAGTTTGCTAGCGCATTTATTTTGGGTACAAAATATCACGGGTTCAAATCCTGTAATTCCTATCAATAACTTCTTCTCTGAGCAGTAATGAGGGATCAATTTTAGATCAATTAAATAAAATTCAAATCGGACATACATTATTTTTTAATTTTATAATATTCTATATAATAATATAAGCGTGCAAAATGTATTAGGATTAAAAAAATAATAATACTCTTATCTTCATACAATAATCCAACCCATTTCCTTTCACTAAACCTTCAAAAAATTTAAAAATACTTCTCTCCTTATGACAATTAATTGAAAAACAATAATACTAAAAATCATTATATCTAGAATAAGTAAATTTTTAAGATTAATATATAATGACACTGAAAAAATGTAAAATAATTTTACGTTTATACCATTGACCATCATATACAAAAATAATCCATTAATGAGATAATTATCCAAAGAAAAAATTATAAACTAAAGATAAATATAACCTAAATAATTAAGAAATCAATCTCATGTACTATTTACACAAGACCAGCTCAAAATACAAATGATTCAGAAAACAATGTCGTCAAAGATGTACTGAATTTTTTCTGAAAGCAAACATGATATGTCAAACATAAACTACATCTAGGAGGCCGAATTAACGACAAAGTTGAGTACATAAGCTCTTTATCTGAGAACTAGTTGCATTTGACAACATGTATGTGCCAAATTTTCCATTGCTCGAACATGTTATATTTAGCTGGTTGCCTATTTGGTTCGTCTGCAATTGTTAAAGAACATCAAATGTATTTTCTTTACATATAACATAGTAATATGAGATTAATTAATTCTTGAATGGTAATTTAAGTTAGAATCAAATATATCAGTATATCATTTAATCCATCTATAAGTTCTAATAGAGACTTCCATTATTTAAGAGCAAGTGAATGCTTTTATGTCTCTCACTTATGCTTTAATATACTAGTCCACTACTTCATCTGTGTTAGTGAGGGCATCCATGGCTACTCTTAAGCCTCCATTGTTGAAGAAAGAAGAAAAATGGGTAAAAAATTGTTTTTTTCTTTCTTATGTTAAAGATATAGCATACGAAAATTATATATAATTTGTATGTAAAGTTAATTTGGAAGAAACTAATCACATTAATATAAACAAAATACTTGGATGCAACTGATAAAAATAATTTGATAACTAGAATATTTTGTGACTCGTATAATTACTCCGTCAATAATTATTTTGTGATTCCTATATAACTTGGTAACTAGAATACTTTGTGATCCGTATAATTGATCTATCAATAATTATTTTGTGATTCTTATAGCTGCTCCTTCACAATTTATATCAATATCCACAAATCTAGATCTCGTTAGGTTCCCCTTCTTATACCATGTCGAATGCCATTTTCAGCACTTTCATTTTGGAGACTAATGGATTGGTGATAGTGATTTTCCCTATTTGTGCATATATTGGTGTGGTATTCCGACCAGACCTTACAATTGTTATGTATGCATACTCTATTTGTACGAGTGTGTTGCAGATAATGGTCGTCTTTCCTGTCTCGATTGTAATATCATGATTGTGTTCATTTTGCTATGGTAATAGTAGTTGTCCCACACACTTAAATTTATTTTATGGTTTTAATGCTTGTGAATAGTTATCCCACATGATATTATCATGATAGATGCATAAAGTAGTATCTATTTCCATTGTTGCACCTCTTCTATTGTCCCTCTTTGCTTCTGTAGCATCTACTCAAGTTAGTCAATGATGTTACTCCACTGAAAATGTTATATGCACAAGGGAGAGGAGTTGAGGATAGTAGAGGATCCTTCACTAGAATAGTTTATGTCTTTCCAATAAATGGGTCTTCCATAAAGCTTTCTAGCTCTTCATGGGAATATATGTTGTAAGGTGCTCGATATTTGGATTCTTCTTGTGGCAAGAATGATAATAGGTCGATTGTGGGAGTATATGTTGTATTTGTCTTTATGGTTTAATAGTATTCTTATTTATCTTTGTCAGATCTTTTAGTTGAGAATTGTGTCTTACCAATTTCCTTTTTAGTTGGCTCAGGGAATAGACTGTTTAGAAGCTATAAATTCCATCGATTTTAACCCTCGAGCATAAGTTGGCTTACTTGAGTATATCTAGGTTTGATAGGGTAATTTGGTCTATAGTCAGTAAGTGTAATTGTAGTATTTTTACATAGAAAATTGTTGCATGCAAAAACTATTTACGTAGCTTTTGTAGAGAGAGAAAGTAAAAGATAGAGAGAGGGCACCGAAACAGAGTGCAACCCTGCAAACGCCTATGTTTCGTGCTTAGATGATTTTTGAAGAAGGCAATGGAGAAAACGGTCTACCATTTTTCATTCATATTTGTATGGCTTAAATAAGCAAGTTTATGACAATAAATCCCATTTTCTCGTACAAGTGATAGGCTTGCAATTGAATTCAAATTCTACCCTATCTGATTATAATTACATTCAAAAACTGAAATTTAAAATTCAAATACAAGCTTATAAGAATAAATTTTAACTGATTCTTAATAATCTAACACTCCTCCTTAAGAATCAGTCCATACAATTCCTAACTTCTCTCTCATATTTTCGAATTTTCCTTTTCCAAGTGGCTTTGTCAGAATATCCGCAAGTTGCTCATTGGATGAGGAATGAGTATGCTTGATTTCACCACTCTTTCGGCATCTCTAATTGCATGGAACTTCATATTAATATGCTTGGTTCGGCCATGCATCACTAGATTCTTAGCGATTGCTATGGCCGACTTATTGTCCACCTGAATTTCGGTTGGCAAAGATGCATCAAGCTTCAGATCCTGCATTACTTTCCTCAATCATACCGCCTAATTTGCAGCACCTGTAGCAGCAATATACTCAACCTCAGTTGTAGATTGTGCAACCACTTCTTGCTTTCTAGATGCCCAGGAGAAAGCACCAGAGCCAAACGAAAATAGATAGCCAAAAGTGTTACGTGCATCATCGAGACTCCCTGCCCAGTCACTATTAGTATACCCGAGCAACCTTCCTTCTCCCTTTGCCTCATATAAAATTTCATAATTTTGGGTACCCTTTAGATACCTCAATACATGCTTTGCTGCTGCCATGTGAAATTATTTTAGATATGACATAAACTATGACAGCAAACTCACAACAAATAACATATCCAGTCTTGAAACTGTGAGATATAACAAGCTCCCAATTAAGCTCCTGTACCTTCCCTCATCCACATTATCACCTGTTTCATCTTTAGTTAATTTCAGGTTTGGAATTAACAGAGAAGAGACAGCTTTACACTCCATCAAATTAAATCTCTTAAGGATTTCACGTGCATACTTTGTTTGTGATAGAAAAATCCCGTTCTGAGCTTGCTTTATTTCCATCCCTAGGAAGTATGTTACTTCACCTAGGTTGGACATCTCAAACATCTCCTCAAGCTGTCCTTTGAATTCTTTCATTTTGCATTGATCGTTTCCTGTCACCAATATATCATCTACATAAATGGCAGTGATCAGCCTCCTCCCATTTTCATCGTGTTTTGCATATAGCGTTGCTTCTGCCTTACTCTTTTCAAATCTACAACACAGTAAGTATTCGTCCAGCTTCTGGTACCAAGCTCATGGAGCTTGCTTAAGGCCATACAAAGCCTTATGAAGCAGATAAACGTGATCCTTTTTTCCCTCAACTGTGAATCCTTCTAGTTGATCAACATAAATCTCTTCTTGAAAATCACTGTTTAGGAAGGCAGACTTGACGTCCAGGTGCATAACCTGCCACTGGGAATGCGCTGCTACTGTCAGAATCATTTTGATGGTTTCGTGTCTTGCAACTAGAGTGAAGGTGTCCCCAAAGTCAATTCCCGCAGTCTAGGCATATCCCTTCACCACCAACCTAACTTTGTGCCGATTTACAGAGCCATCGGGGTCCAACTTGAGTTTGTAAATCCACTAGACACTAATTATCTTTTTGCCCTCAGGCTTAGGGACCAAAGTCCAGGTTTTTTTCTTTGTCATCATAGCAATTTTTTCTATCATAGCATCCTTCCAATAGGAATATGTGGCTGTCTCTTGATAGGTTACAGGTTCTTTGAAGGCAAAATTGCATGATTCGTATATCTCAGAGAGACTTCTCATCCTAACTCCATCAACACTTCCATCATTTCTAACTTCCTCATCATTTTCCAACTTATAGGGGAATGGAGCTGGTACAGGTTCATCTCCTCCTATCACCAGCTTCCCTACCTCATCACGTTCTATTTTTTCTTCTGCCCAAGTCCAGTGTGAGCCTTCATCTATCACAACATCTCTCTCAACATAAGTTTTTTGGAGAACAGCATATACA